ACTCTTTCCACAAATGCGGAGAGAAATAGTACATTTGGAAGAAAAAAAGAGAAATGGGTTATTTTTTCCTCCTGCTTATTGAACGCAGTTAGGAAAATAGACCCTGGGTGCAGACCCTGTTTCTCAGTGACATCCTTTTGTAAGCCAGGTGCGTTCTGAGGCATTTTCCTGGCTTTGCATCACAGCCAAGCATGACTCAGAGCAAATGACTCACCAGTGGCAAAAATGACCAACGAGCTAGGGGAAAATGAGAATCTAGAAACAGCAAAGCAAATGGAAAATGCCAGAGTAAATGAGCTTAGAGGGTTGGTGTTCAGCTGACATCCTTGAGTTGGGGGTTTAGGGGTGAACCCCGGAAGCTAAAATACAAAAATGGGGCCCAGTAAAAGGGATGGAAGCCTCATGAGAGAAGGAAACCAAATTTTGAGTTAATTTAAAATAGCAAGAACAAAGTAAAAGAATTAAATGAGATCAAAACGACAAACCTACGACCCCTCCTCCCAATTTTTGACTTAATTAGTGTGGTGATGGTAGAACACAGGAAATGGGAAACCAGTTAATAAAGAAAAGCTAGTCTAATACCCTCTCTGCTCCGAGGAGGCCGATTACGCGAAACTTCATGAAGCAGCAGGAGCACTCTCGGAATCCCAGGCTGGATTTGGATAATAAACACTCCCTTTATCTCCCTTATGAGGAAAGAGGTGTTCTACATAATCAAAATTTTAATGTAAGTAGAATTAAGACTAGCTCTCTGTGGGAGAGACGTAGCAACGTCTCATCTCTGACTTTGTCTCCTATCCTCTTCTGAAGGCACCTGGAGTGGCCAAAAGCTTTGGGGTCCTGGGAGATTGACGCCTGCCTGGTGGCCCTGCTTCTGTTCTGGCTTACACACCAGCCCTCTCCACATGGCTGCCAGAGTGCAGCATCTTTACAAAGTCTAAATCAGACCATGGTGTTACCCTGACGCAAACCCTCCAGTGCTCTCCCACTGCTCCCGGGATGGAATCCCAAATCCTAAACTTGGCCTCCAGGCCCCTGCCTAGTGCCTGGCCCGCAGCCCTGCCAGCCTCAGCTCTTTCCTCCCTCCCTCTGCACTCCCCACTGGGCCACACTGCCTGGCTGTAGTTCCAGTGGGCCAGGTTCATTCCCATCGCAGAGCCCCCCGTGAATTTGCCTTTCCTCTAGTTGGGACGTTGGTCTTCCAGAGGGTGGAGTGACCGTTCCTGGGGTCTCAGGCTGAAGGAGATCCTGCCTCTCTCTGGTTCTCTGGCCCAGCCCTACCCAATAGAAATACAGGGTGAGCCTCATGCGGCATCTTAAGTTTCAAGCAGCCACACTAAACAGTAAAGAAAACAGGCAAAATAATTTTGATAGCAGATTTTACTTAGCCCAGTATATCCAAAATATTATCATTATCACATCTAATCAATATAAAAATTATTAATGAGACATTTGATATTTCCTTTATGCACTGAGTCTGAAATCTGGTGTGGTCAGCACACCTCAGTTCGAATGCACTCTGTTTCATGGCTCAATAGGCACATGTGGCAAGTGGCTGCCATACAGGACTATGCAGCTTGAACCTATTTGCCCTTTTATTTTATTGACTTATGAGGGAGTATCATGATGTGTTTGTTTACCAGTTTGTTATCTAACTAGCTTTTGCTTGTCCACCTGGATCAACACTGGCCACACCGTAAATGCTCAAGAATATTTGTGGAATGATTGAACGAACATGACTAGACAAATGAAACACCCAACCACCCTCTTAATGCTAGAGCACTAATTCTTCATGCTCTAGAAGAGGCAACTGAGTGGGCAGTGCCATTTGGAGCCTGTTTTAATCAGAGGAATTCAATGCATAAGGTTCTCTCTGACCAACAATGTTAACTACTTAAGGTGGAGACTTGTATTGTCCAAGGGCCAATATAAGTATTTTCCAATGACTCTTTACTGGGTTTATTTTGGGGGAGACAGTGATATCAACTAGAGAAGGGTTTTCAGTAGGAAGCGGGTAACAGGATTGAGATCCTCAGCATTGTTGCTGGTCAGAGTTCATCTAGATTAGGGATTTCAACCAGGGGCAATGGCTAGAGACATTCTTGGTTGTCACGACTGGGAGAGGGGTGCTTCTGGCATCTAGTGGGTAGAGGCCAGGAAGGCTGCTGAGCATCCTACGATGCCCACACAGGACAGCCTCACTACAGAGAATCCTCGGCCCCGGTGCTGTGGGCCACAGCCGAGGAGTCCCACTGAGGACCAGCATGGCCCCGTTCCTCAGGAAGGTCATTATTCTCCGGGAACGTGGCAGGTTCCGCACAGGCCCGTTTTTTTCATTCCCTTCTCTCCCTCCCAGGTTAAACCACCCCACCTCTCGTTTCTTTTCCTAAAATGATAGACCAAATGGGAGCTGCCTCCAGCTATGAGCATTTGAGGTGAAAGGACATTGGCTCCACTTTTAAACTATGAAATGGAGTTCTGCAGAGAAGACACCTGGAGAAGCCTGTGCTGTGAGAACCGTGGATTCGTACACTAAGCAACCCCTGAATGCTACCTAGATACTTTCAAAGCAAAGCAAAGCAGAAACCCATTTCTTTTCACTTACATGAGAGTGAACATCTACCAACTACACTTTTAAAAGACATATATTTATACTTCAACTCAGGATTATCTATTTTAATTCTTGCTATATATTGAGATTCCCCCAGAATAAGGGAATTGGTGTATTATTATATTTTCATTATCACAATGTCATATTTGTCCTATAAGAGAATATTCCCCATATTGTTGTAGAAAAGTGATTGATTACATATTTTCAATTTTAAGATTTGGGGCAATACCTGCAAACATAAACTGAAGTTGTACTAGACTTGGAATTCTTTTTTTATCCTTCTGTACTCTCCAGCTAGGTCTGAATAGGTCTGATTGGGTGTATGGGTGGAGTGGGCTGGGGAGGGAGATGAAACTACCCCCCCCAGTGGCCAGTGTGTGCTGTTTTCTGTCTGGAGCGTCTTCCCTTTTGTGGCCAGCGGGCTCTTCCCACATTCCACAGGCAGAACTGAGTGCTCCTACTTCTAGGCCCCCAGTGGCATCTGCATCCTGGAACTGTAGCACTTGTCACGTGGCTGTAATTGTTTATTTATGTCTGTCTCTCCCTAGATTGTGTTTGGCAAGGGAAGGCCCATAATAACCCTTGTGTTTCCCCAGGACTTATCATAGCTCCTGGAACATGGTCGGGGCTTAATAAATTGACCTGAACTCTACAAAATAACACCTTTTATCTGTCCACACTGGTGTTTCCTTCTGTCAGAGAAGCAGCGACTGTGTTCTTTGACCTCAGGTGGTAAAGTTCCAAAACTTGGCACTGGGCAGAGAGATGACAAACAATCCAGGGACAAAAGTGGCCCTGCATTTTCCCTAGTTCTCTGTTTTAACGAGTTGACATTGTGAGCAGAAATTCTGAGTTCTAGATGCAGCTCTGTACAAACCATCTCTGAGTTTGCTCACGTGACATCACCCCATCACTTCACTTCTCCGTGTCTCAATTTTCCATCTGAATGCTACTTCCAGGAGTCTGTGCCTTTCCCCTGAACCTCTGTCCCCCTGTCCCATTGTTATCTGTCTTCCAACCTGCCACTGTCTTCCAGAAATCTAAAGTCTCATCTAACCCTAACATCTTGGGATTTTATTTGAGTGAAACAAAGACTAGAACTTGCATAACTGTTTTATTCCCACTCTTTCACAAGCATCTCCTTTATTCTTTCATTATTATTATATTTTATATATTTATTGATTTCAGAGAAGAAGGGAGAGGGAGAGAGAGATAGAAACATCAATGATGAGAGTGAATCATTGATCGGCTGCCTCCTGCACACCCCACACTGGGGATCTAGCTCACAACCCAGGTATGTGCCTTGACCTGGATCAAACCCTGGCCTCCTGGTTCATAGGTCAACACTCAACCACTCAGTCACGCCAGCTGGGTGGTTTATCAAGTTTAATAGTCTTTTTGAAGAAAAAGTTTTTGGTTTTATTGGTTTTCTCCATTGTATCTCTTCCCCATTCTCATTGATTTCTGCTCTTATTTTTATTGTTTCATTTCTTCTGCTTGTTTGGGGAAATTTTGCTTTTCTTTTTCTAGTTTTTAAGGTGGAAGCGTAAATTATTGATTTAAGACCTTTCTTTTTTTCCTCTTACTACAACCATTGAGTGCTATTTATATCTCTGTAAAAACTGGTTTAGCTATATCTTACAGGTTTTAATATATTTTTTTTTCATTTTCATTTAGTTCAGTATGTTTTCTAATTTTCCTTGAGACTTCCTTTATGACCAATAGATTATATTGTTTAATTTCCAAATGTTTGGAGATTTTCCAGCTATGCTTCCATTGTTGATTTCTAGTCTAATTCCATTATGGCCATAGAACATACTTGTTGTGATTTCAATTGTTATAAATTCTCTAAGTTTTGTTTTACAAGCCACAATATGAACTATCTTGGTGACTATTTTGAATATTGCATTAAGAGACTCCACCAATTTGAGTTTGGATTCTAAGTTCCTACCAGCCTTCGGTGAGTTTCAGTATCAGTTGTGTTTTCAAAGTCTTCACTGTGTTCTTCTGATCTGTCCCTGTTGAGCCACTCCATGGCCATATGGGTCCCAGGCAGTCTCACCTGAACTTCAGAGTATAGTGTATGCTAGTTAGGATTATATTTACAGTGTTCAGCTCAGGGTGAGCCCAGGAGCTCATAAACAGCTTTATGGAGTGGTTTTCCTGAGCTCCTCCCTCTTTGCCATCGCTGGAGTACATTGCAGTTCCTGGGGCCATCTGTCCTTGGTCCTTGGTCCTTAAGCCAGAAAGTATGGGCTTTATTCCTCCTGCTCTGCTAAACTCTTCCTTGGCTCACATCCATGACTAGGCAAGAGCAAGACTGAGAAAATCCAAGGGTTGGGTTTTTTAGTTTGTTTGTTTGTTTTTCCCTCTTCAGACCACAGCATTTCCAATCGCAAAGAAAGTTTTCCTCCCTCCGAGTTTCAGGCACCCGTGAAGCCCTTTTCTTCTGCAGAACCACTGGGGGACCAGGACACAAGAGAGCTGAGAAGACAGGAATGGAAAAGGGAACTTGCCTGGATTTGGCCTGCTATCTCTGAGAATTAGGTGGTCTCTTTCATGCTCTACAAGCCAGGACTAGGTGGCTTATCCTGGTACTCTGCTGTCCATACGGATGCTCGCTTCTGGGTATCAGGTTGTATTCAGTCTGGGTTGGGGGTCCTGGATGAGGAGATGGCAGAGTCACCACCACTTTGATGATACATCAAATTCTGGTTGTCTTCCCACATTTCCCTACTACTGTATACTTTTCAGAGACTTCAAATAGCTGCTCTGTTTGTTCTGTCCAGGTTTTATAGCCACATTCAGTGGGCGAGACAGGGGTGGAGTGTGCTCACTCCATCTTAATCAGATCCACAAGGAAGCCAGAGACGTTTTTTAGACACATTTAACAAAGCAATGAAAAGCAAGGATGTATCTGGCTCAGGAAAATTGTGGTTCCTATAGGGAAAGAGGAAAATAAAAGTTGAAAGACTAGGTAGATATTGACAAATACCTGATGCAGGGTCACATAAAGAACTTAGGGAAACCTCTCCCTTGAAATTTCCTTATTTCCATCTTTACATATCTGAGTTCCTCAGCACCACGCAGGCTCCCAGCTTGAACTGAACGGGTTGACTGTAAGCAAGTGAGCTTATTTCTCTCCATCAGGAACATATAGAAAAGTATACATGGAGAATTAGAGAAAGATTACCTTGAGTCTTTAATCTAGGATATCAAGTGTTTGTATCCAGGTCATCACCAGTGTGTGTAGTTCATGCTGCAGAGTCCGATCTGAACTTGATAGAGAAGTTAATCTCTTAAAGTAGACTTCTCTTTCTCTCTTTTGCTCTCACTCAGTCACTCATTCACTCAAATAAAGCAAAGCCTTTATTGTAAGAATAACTCCTGCTTTCTTCAAAGACTATCTGAACAAGTGGACCATTGATACCACTAACAATCACTGAATTTCCATCTACACATGTTGACACGGATGAAAACAAAGGCCATGTAAAAATTGTAAAGCAGCCCTGGCCAGTGTGGCTCAGTTGGTTGAGTGTCATCCCCTGCACCAAAAGCTTGCTGGTTTGATGGTTTGATTCCTACTCAGGGCACATGCCCAGGTTGTGGGTTTGGACCCCAATTGGATTGATCGTGGGAGGCAACCAATTGATGTTTCTCTCTCTCTCTCTCTCTCTCTCTCTCTCTCCAATCATTAAAAACATTTTTTTAAAACTTGTAAAGCAGAACTTTTGAAATGGCCACTTTCTCCAGGGCATCTGAAACAGATGTGATCTTGAAAGTTTCTATTGCTCTGTTGATTCATGTACTAAACAGTCTTCAAATGCCTACTAGTAATATTAATACCATTTAGAATTTGGATAGCATTTTAGCCATTTGACTTTTTTTTTTTTTTGCTTTATTAGCCCATTTGTTCCTTATAGCGATAGTGTAGGACACACAGGATAGCTGTGGTATTGTCCTATATTATTTTTACACTAGAGGGGCCGTGGGGGGGGGGCGTGGGGGGGGGTCCCTCAGCCCGGCCTGCACCCTCTCACAGTCCAGAAGCCCTTCTGGGGATGTTCACCTGCCAGCTTAGACCTGCTCCCTGGGGGATCTGGCCTAAACTGGCAGTCAGATATCCCTCTGGCAGCCCAGGAGCCCTCGGAGGATGTCCGACTAACGGCTTAGGCCTGACTTCTAATTTAACAAATGTCCGGGGGGAGCAGGCCTAAGCCATTAGTTGGACATCCTTAGTGGTGCCACAGAGGTGGTAGAGGCTCCTGCCACCACTGCTGCACTGGCCAGCCATGAGCTGGCTTCTGGCTGAATGGCGCTCCCCCTGTGGAAGAGCACTGACTACCAGGGGTCAACTCCTGCGTTGAGTGTCTGCCCCTGGTGGTCAGTGCGCATCATAGCGACCAGTCGCTCCTGGTCATCACAGTTAGGGTCAATTTGCATATTACCCTTTTATTATATAGGATTGTTGTTACCTCGGAGAGTATAATTTTACCTCTTGGTTTCTTCATTTTCCATTTAACATAAGCATTTTTATGATGCCATGTTCTCATTATTGATCTCTAATATTTCAGAGAGTGTCATAATTAGTGTAACAGAATTTACATAATTTTCTTTTTGACCATTTAGATTACTTTTAAATTTTAATGTTATAAATAATGCTGCATATAGGTTTTTTGGATCACATTTTGGGTTATTTCTTTAGGGTAGGTTAAATAGATATCCTTTAAAATATTGTTAAACATGTTTCAACATTAGGGAGGATTTCAAAAGACCATAGATGACCTATAGAAAACACCAGCGTAACACAGTAACAATTTTCAGATTTCTCCATGTTGAAGAGCAGGTTTAGGATGTGCCAAGAGATTTAGCCAGAAGGATGTGGGTAGTGTGTATAGAGAAATGAAGAAAGCATTAGCAAAGTCTGGGGGAGGGGGCGGTCGGGAGAGAGAGAGAGATGGATGGAGGTGAAACTAGCCTGATTAAAGCAGAAGTTCTGTCTTGAAGAAGCCAACTACCAAATGCTTATGCAAGGTTGCTTTTGAATAGTGGCAGCGCCCCTTCTGTGCATGGCCAGTGGAGAGCTGCATGGGCAGCCTTGATCAGCTCCAGACTGCAGATCACCTTGACCAGCAGCCAGAGATGACGGTGTTATAGCTGAACTGTGAAAAACACTGGCAGTTTTAACCAGAGGGCGTGCTGCAGCCTGCCCGGGATCCCTGTGTCCAGGAGGATGTGGCCGGAGCCTTTCCTCCCACAGACACAGATGTCTGGTGCACATTGCTCTTTGCTTTGGCCCTTCACTGGGCCAACGGGAGCAAAGCACCAAGCTGGAAAAGATCAGACGTTTGTTTGCTCAGCCCATCCCTGACCTCCCTTCTTTGGTGAAGGACCAAGTCACAGATTATTCAGAGAACCTATCCCAATCCAATAATTGAATGCAGCTCTTTCCATACCAGGGTTTGGGGCAATATGCAGTTATTTTGCCAAATTACCCAAAAGGATGGAAGTCCAAGTGGGTCTATATCCAAATTGAATCCAGCTGTCCCCGAATTGTCAGCTGTGTCCTTCTTTTATTAAAGAGGTACAGCTGCTCACTAAGCGGGTGGGGAGGATGCCTTGCAGTAAATTCTAACATTTGGTTATAGTGGAACCAACTCAGTAAGTTAATAGCAAAAGTTAATGGAAAACCACCGTCACCAAATCCCTCCTTGTTGCTTTAAACTAGAGGGCCCACAAATTCGCTGAGGAACTTCCTAGGGTGAACTAAATATTAGTAAAATGTAAAATGTATGCCCAACTGCCTGGATAAGGTGACTTCAGTGGGGACTTAGGATGATTTTGAAAAACTGAGAAATCTTAGTGGCTCAGATTGTGGAGGAGCCATTGGTTTATAATCAGATATCCTTTTTCCTTCCTCCCTAGTCCACTGGGGACTAGTTGAACTCCTGGACCCTTCTGGGTTTTGGCAACGTGGTGAGTGGGGTGTGCTGTGGAGCCTACTGCACTGTTGCTGAACCAAGGGAGGCAGGATCTCCAGAGTGCATGCTCCGTGAGGCAGGGAGATTGTCTCTCCCACGGTCTGTCCCAGCTCTCACTGACCCAGTGAAGCCACGGTTTTGTTAGGAAGTCACTGTGTTGGGGAACCAGCAGATGGTCCATTATCTCTTTCCTGTGCACAGTGAACATTTTAGATGTTTCCTTTTTCCTGGAGGTCATAAAATAGGAGTCATTGTCGGATGCAGCCATTAGGACAGCTGCATTGGAGGGAAGCCTGCGCTGAGCATCCTAAGATGTTATCTCAGCGTGAACATGGCACAAAGCCCGAGAGGTTTAGCAGCCTTTCCCGCTGCAAACCTGCTAACAGCAGATGTCCACCTTCCGATTCTGGCTTCCCTAAAAAGAGGACTCTGGAGGGACTGCTCTAGTGACTGGAGATGCTGCTGTGCTGGGGCTCCCCTGTTAGGCTCATCCTGCCTCTGCAGCCACTACAACAATCTGATCTCTCCGTCACCCTCAGAAATTTGAAGACCACTATCTTGTCTCCCAAGTTACTTTCTCCATGTTAAATGTCCTCGACTTTTTCACCATTGCTCATGTGACACCATTATTGGGAAGGCTTTTGTTCTATTTATTTATTTACTTACTAGAGGCCTGGTGCACAAAATTTGTGGGGGGGGTCGCAATCTGGGACCCCTCGGGAGATGTCCGACTGCCATTGGGCGAAACCCAGACCCAGCCAGCCCCACCCCCTCAAGTCCCACCTGGGGGGGGACGCAGCGTCAAGTCCCCGCCCACCTGCGCACACCTCGCCACGTGTGCCTCGTTGCGCACGCCTGCCACACACGCAGCCTTCTGCTGATTAGTCATTACGGTGTGAGGGCGTCACAACCATTGGCATATTAGCTCTTTATTATATAGGATTTATTTAGCATGCTCTCCAGAATCTCAATAGATCTCTCCTTTTTCCTTTCCCTTTTTTAAAAAAAAATTCTTACAAGCATTTATTGAATTAAAATGCCTTTGTCCTGCCATCCTTTTTTAAAATTTATTTTCTAATACTCCCCACCCCTTTTTCCTGTCTATGGTTATATTGAAAGATTCCCTCCCTCTCAAGTTAGGATTAGCATTAAAAATTTGAATACACTCTTTAACTTTACCAACATCTAGGTGATGTCTGTAATCTTCCTTGTCTCTCATCCCCAAGTATAACTGTTAGCTGTCCATCTTCTTGGATAAATATGTGGCATTTTATTTTCCAGTTTTCCTTGTTGATTTTTGCTATGGGAGGAAAATACATGTTGTATGTGTTTATACTCACCCTGGATTGCTAAAATATATCCTTCAGTAATTCTTTTAAAGATGGTGTGCAAGATATAAACTTTCTGAATTCTTTGATATCCAAAAATATTCTTGTTATACCTTCAAAATTAAATTAAAATGCTTTTGCAAGTTTATTATTATCCTCATGGGTTGCTTTGG